GGGATGAATGGAAAAGTTTATTTGCTAACCTTAACATAACATAGTTATCCACCATTCGTGAGCTAGCATAACTCTTAAAAGAAAATGGATAATTACAAGCGAAAGTTTAAGAAAGTGAAGAAACACTTATTGAGGCACAAAAGCACATACAAATGTTAAATGGGGTTGTTGTTGAAATTGAAAAATAAATGGGTGCCTTGAATAAGGAATGTGAGCAAGTAAATGAAGCATATATGAAAAAGCATGACCAATTAGAGTGCTTGCTTGATCAAATCACTACTACTTATAAAGCCAAGGACATGGTAGAAAAGATTGAGGAATGAAAGACAAGAGTGCCACAAGTTGAAACACATAGTCAATGGCTATTAGATTTTCTCAATGAAGTATAAGGCCAATATCGATAGATTAGGGATTTGTTGCCATAATAAAATTTAGACTTCCTATGGATGTAATTTTAGATTCAATAAAGATTTTTCTTGTTAATAACTGTTATGTGGTAAATCCTTCTTATTACATTCATTTATGCATTTAGTCATTTTCATACATAAGTTATTAAAAGTTGGGATGATTTCATAATATCATTATAAAAAAGTTTGACAACATGTCATCCTAAATTTAACATTGTGGTAAATCATGGTTTAAGGATAACTTAATTTTTGACCAATCTGAGGCACTACAACATAGATATCAAGCAAGGATCACAAAAGAATAGCACATTCTTTGTTTCCAAAAACTAAAAAGGTACAAAAAGATTTGAAGGGACAATTAGAAACTATCATTGAATTGCTAAAATGTTTGAGTAAGGAAAAGAAAATAATGAAAGACGTGGTTATCCAAAATGAAAACAATCCATTGTATCCTTTTGGTTTTAGTTCGTACTTAGCACAAGCATCTCAAGGGGCCTAGCATCAATGCCATTTACTGGAAACTACTCCTATATGCATATTGACTTGCCTTTAACCATTGTTTCTATTCATATCACCCATATTCTTGATGTCAAAACATCTGATCCAACTTAAGTTCCTAATTTAGATGATCCAAAAGAGTAAGAGAAGTTGAATATAAGCACAATAGGGACAACAAAAGGCTTTGGATCCCAATAGAAGATGGATCTCATAGAAGAAAGGCCTAAGCTATTGAAAGGATAGATTTTTATGGATTAATAGATGCTGTTGGACTATACTTAGTTCATGAAGTGTTGATTTCATCAAAATTGCTTGAATTTGAGAAATATGATTGAACAAGTGCCTTATAATACTTGTCATAATATATTATCGTAACATAGCTGCACATACACATGATGAAAGCTACCTATTCATGTCTTTCAAGACAGTTTCACTGGATCTACTGCTAGATGGTATGTATAATAGAATTGGTCTCGCATCTATGGCTGGAGGGAATTAGTAAGGACCTTTATTACGTAATACAAGTATATCATAAATTGGGTACTAGATCATATGTTTTTGTAAAGTATGAAACAAGAAAGCCAATGAAAGTTTCAAAGAATATGTTTAGAGATGGATGGATGTTGCTGCCCAAGTTTAACCCCTAATCATAAAAAAAAAAAACTATAGTCTTATTTGTCAACTCTTAAAACCCCTTATTATGAGAGGATGATTGTAATGCTATAAAAAAATTTTTCTAACATAGTAATCTATGAGAAATCATTGAAAATGATATTAAGACTGGGAAGCTTAAAGTTGGTGATACATTTAATGTAAAGAAAAAAGCTATATTGAAGAAAAACATAGCTGATGTTCAGGCTGTATTTCGTGAAAGGCAATAATTCAAAGGATATCCTTCATATCTTTAATACCCAATGTACCAAGACCCTTACTAGTCCACACATAATGTCTCATGAAACACTTATCCTTACCATCTTGTACTGCTTGCTTATTAGCTTAGTTTTCAGCCTATGTCTCTTATGCGTGGTTTCACACCCATTCCTATAGCCTAACCTAGTGTGCAAGCCAGCTATTCAAGAGGGCCTCCAAGTATTAAGAGAAGATTTGTATTGACCATATTCCTATGACTTATATTGAGTTATTCCTTTAATTGGTAAAGAGTCACCTCATAGTACCCCTTTTAATTAGGACCATTGAAACCATTTTACCCTGAATGGTACGATGCTAATGCTAAATGTGATTACCATTATGAGAAAATAAGTTATTCAACTGAGAATTGCCCTACTTTAAAATATAATGTGCAACATCTGATCAAGGTTGGTTTATTGAATTTTGATATTTTAGGAGGTCCAAACATCAATGAAAATCCATTGCCAAATCATGTCGGGGGAACAACTAATGCCATAAATGATGATAAAGTCTATATCATCAAAAGAAGTGTTAAAAATGTTAAGACTCTATTGGACCATGTCTTCGATGCTTTGATGAAGGCTGACATGATTCGGCTAGTACCCTTAAGTCATAAAATTTGCTATGACAAGCTTGATTAGGACCAATCCTGCAATAGGACATTCTATTCAGAATTGTGATGCTTTTTGTTAAAAATTTTAAAAGATGATAGATGCATCATAAATTGAGTTTTATGAGAAGCTTGAAGATACTATAGTGAATGTAATAGTGAATGAATCTCTTAAAATCTTGGTCAAACTTATTATAATTTTTTGTAAGCCAACTCAGAGCCAAGCAACACTTGCTCGAAAGCTAGTTGTTACAATCAAAGTCTCAAGTCCTTTTCCATATCAAAATAATAAGGTAGTACTATAAAGATACAACTATGATGTGGTGACTTAAGGATTGGGTGATGATCAAACCCCTTACCCATTTAGACACTAAAAAAATAACTAAAATGGGGGATATGACCAGGAGTGGATGATGCTACTTGCCTGAGATAGTGGAAAATGCTAAGAGAAAGAAGGCTAAGGAATAAGAAAAATATGACAAAAGTAAACTTGTGAAGGTTCTTGATGTGGGATCCCAAAAGCCAATCACTGAAAAAGAAATATGTAAATTCTTGAAACTAATCAAACATAGTGACTATAGCGTGATGGAAACTGAACAAGATGTCGGTATGGATTTCACTTCTTTCATTTTTTTTCTTTAAAATTATATAGGAATGTCTTGCTGAAGGTATTAAATCAAGCATATGTGTCTCATAACATATCTGTGAAAGATGTCAGTAATATTGTTAGGAATCTCACAGTTACAAACTATGTAGCCTTCATTGATGATGAGATATCACCTGAAAGATGAAAAAGTACAGCCTTTTACATTATTACTAGGTGCAAGAGTCACACAATTGTCAAGATCTTTATTGATAATTGCTCTTCAATTAATGTTATGCCTACTAGTACTTTGGCTAAGTTGTCATTGATACATATTATATTGGAGCTAACTATATGATAATGAGGGCTTTCGATGGTTCTCAAAGAGAAGTGTCGAGAGATATTGAGATACCGCTGTCTATTAGTCCCTACACTTTTAATGTCAAATTCTAAGTTATGGATATCTCTCCAACATATAGTTGCTTATTATAAAGCCCATATATTCACATAATAGGCACTATCCCTTCCTTTTGCACTAGAAAGATAAATTCATTATTGGTGGCTACCTTATCTACATCTCTAAAGAAAAAGATTTGTTGGTGACACAACCATTATCTATTCCATATGTGGAAGTAGCTGATGAAACACTACAGTGTTCTTACAGATCATTTGAACTGATCAATGCAACATAAATGAGGAAAGGATCTAAATTTTATGTTTTTAATTGTCTATAAGTATTGGCGTGATAATCAAACAAATAATTGAAAAAGGCTAGCATTTTGGGATAGGACTAGAAAGAGTTTTTTAAAGAATAAAAATACCTCCAATGATACTTGACAACAAGGATAAAAATGGCTTGGGATACAAGCCAACAAGGGTAGACAAGATGAAGATGATGAATGCCAAGAAGGAGAAAAAAATGGCTGATCTTAGGGGATATGAACCTAAAGATGAGAAATTGGTTATTCCCTATTTGTATGAGACCTTTTACTTTGGAGGATGGATCTATTCTTAATCATCTCAAGCTATTAATAAGGATATTGCATAGAATCTGATAAAGATTTTTTTTGAACACTTTATTATAATGGTAAATGTTGAAGTAATTGAAGGAAAGAAAAAAGGCCATTGGTGTGTTTGACCTTGCCAGACACTGAGATAAAGAACTAGAAGATGATGAAAATACTTGCTATTCTTGAACCTCTTAAAAGGTAATGCAATGAGTCAAACCCTAATTGTTTAAGCCTAAGTATTAGGGATTTTTTATGTATGGACTAATTTATCTATCATTTTTCTACTAAAACAATTTGCATAATGCATTATCATTACATTTCCTCTTTCAATGTTTATTCTTTCATTATTAAAAATTCAATTATTATTGACAAAATGTTTTTGTTGCTAATTACAGATAGATTGCTAATGGAATTAAAAAAATACTTTTACCAATGGATTATTAACGAAATTTACTAATATAATTAAATTTGTCGATAATCCATAGGTAAAAGTGTGGCACAAATTGTCGTCAATTTTATTGATGGATTTTTTTATCGAAAAATTCATTGATAACTTTATCGACCAAAATAGTTCGTCAATAAAAAAAATTTTGCAAAAATTTTTTTTTTACATTACTGATGAAATTCTGTTTGTAAATTCATTATTAAAACCAAAAAATTTTGAACCCCTTGGGCAAATCCATTTTCCCCCAATTTCCTCAATCAAATCCCTAATTTCCTTTCCCCTCCCTCTCTCCCTACCATGGTCGCTGCTTCTCCCTGTTGTCCAATGCATTGGTCAACCGGCTACCTTGTGGCAGAACATGTATGCTGATGGGAATAAATATTGGTTAGGTATCTGTACACATGAAATGAAATAGTCCAAGTTCCTTATGCTCTTTCACTTATAGGCAGGTAACTATCTGTTTACTTTCTGCTGAAATGAAGATCATATATCTTGTTAACAGATTTATTATTAATTACTTTTACTGCTTGAAAATCAGGCTCTTTTGGTTAGGTTATCATCGATGGTGGTGTTCCTCTCTCCCTCTTACAGAACAGAGAAGCAAGAACTACTTGCAATACACCAACTGATGAACTAGTTCCATGCTAGTATACTTTTGTAGTCTTTTTCTTTCCCTATATTTGCAAGCCTTTCTGTAAAGCTATTGTGGTGCATTTGCCCTTTATAATGTACAAAAGATGATTTTTTTTGAATTAAATTGGAGACTTTCTTAAAATCATTTTCTTTCTGATGCTTATTTAATTTTATGTTGTTTAATTTGTATGTTCCTTATATTTTTATCCTAAATATTTGTTGTTTGTAGGTTTCTTAATGGTTCCCCCATTGTTTTCAGATAATGGCCTTTTGTCTAGACTCAATTCTATATTTCTTTGTTTCGCACCAACTTTCCTTTTACTCTCTATTGGGTATATCTCATTTCAAACTTTCGTCGTTATGGTGCTTAATTAACATTATTTTACAAATGGACAATATGATGCATATTATGATTTTCCTTCTTTTTGGTGAAATCTGTGCATTTATGAAGTCGTCTTTTATGGTACACTTGCTCTTATATTAATGGTATAGATACTGTTCGAAAAACTTACTTCTTTACTTGAGTAAAGGGAAAACATCTTCTGCTTTAGAAGAATATGAATGAACATATCTTTCTTAAAAATGATGTTAGATATTTGCAACTGTCTGATGTAAGAATTCCGTTAACCTTTGTGAGTCATCGTTTCTCCATCTATTTTATTATTCTACTTTTATATTTGCATCAATTATGAATTTTTTTCATGTATTTCTCTTCAAGAGTCTTGGACAAAGCAGCTACAATAAAGAGTGTTATTCATTAGAAATTCTTATTTGAAGACTGATTTATCTTTATTTTTAGATGAAATCTATTTTCATGCAAGACCATTGAAAACTGAAGTAGAAGCAATAATGTTAATTGAATTGCTTTCCCCAAGTTTTTTGTTGCACTCAGCCCCCCACCTATCTCTTTCTTAGTCAAGCTAAGAAAGAAAAGTCTAAAAGGAATATGAATTGCTTAGTTTAGAGGATTTTATTGCTTGTAATTCATACGGCACTGATGGGTTGTCTTTGCTAGATTGTTTTATTTAACGTGGCTTTCTTTGGAACATGAAATTTTATAAGTATCGCTAGTTTTGAGATTTCATTTGTCTATAGGTTCGTCACCGTCTTCAGTGTAAGTAATGTTTAAACCATAAAAGTATCTTTATAGTTTATCCTTAGAAGCCTTGCTGAAAAGATTTTCTTTTGATTGTAGCTCTTTCTGATGGTAGCCCTTCTTATCTTCAAGTTATTCATACCATTCATGCTTGTTATGTAAGTTTTCTTGTTTGTGAAAGTATCTAAATGATTAGTGATGCTTTAATGGCACCTTAAGGCTTCTGTGACCATTCTTTTTTTAGCCATTAGTTTTTATATGTGTTATGTTACTTTTTAGTTCTCTCTATAGAATATTATTATATTTGATATCTTCATTTTTATGGAATCTTCCTAACTATTGCACCCTAACTTTAGAAACCGTGGCTTCAGAACTCCTTCAAACTCCAAAACCATACCTTTTGAGTGAATCATCCTTTCATTCCAACTATTGGATGCTTTTCATATTATATGCTAGAGCATAGTCAATAAAAACTATAACAACTTTTGATGAGAAATTAAGGTTTTTACAGTTGAGATATAGATATTAACACTGACTATAAACATCCCTTTTCATAATTAAAGTTCCCAATATCTGAGAGATTATCTTGTATTTATCTCATGTGTTGTTTTAAGTGGTTCTACTTGTTCTTCAATTAACACAACATGGTTTGATTTTTGCTTCATTCAAAGCACAGATGTGAGTTCAGTGCAATAACCAAACTACTCTAAGTTCAAAGATTGGGATGTTATTTCCTCGTTATTTTATTTTCAGACGTGATGACCATCCACTTCTTCTTCTTGGTATGATATTTTCTTAAAAATATATTTTGGCAGAACCAATTTTCTTTGTTGATATTTTAGCCTTTTTGAATCGTGCTTTACATGAAAATAATTAAATTATCTAAAACCACTTCATAGGTTATAATTATTTCTTGAGGGCTTCACCAATTTGTTATTTTGATTAACAGGTGAGGAATGCAAGAAGCTGGATGGAAATCGGTAATAGCATCAGCCATTTTGGAGTCGTGAGTGCCAATTTGAAGTAATCGCCCTTGGCCTTTCCTTGTCCTCGCAAATTTGAAGCATCTATAACTGTTATTTCATTTTGGTTTTCTTCTTCACCTTGTTGTAAAAGAAAAGTCTCAGGCATCCAATGCTTGCTTTCTAGTTGTGGAAAGCACATGGAATCTTGGAATTTATAAAGCATATTGCCTACTTGGAATATGATGATTTTTGTTGATATGGGAATGGAGGAACTTGAAGAGATACGTGTTTCTATTAAATGCTGGAGTACATTGAAAAGATATGTGATAATTGAAAAGAATTTTAAAACAAAAACAAATCTCTAACTTCTTTCTTAATTACATTCTTAGCATTTTCTTAATTGCATTTTTTTATTGGATTTATATGAGGTATTTGATGGATGGATGCTATGGATGTTTTATGGATGTTATGGATGTTTGATGGATATTTTATGATGTATTTGATGGATGTTATTTGCATTTGATATTTTAATTAATAATAATAGCATATTTAAATAATTAGACATTTTAAATCATATTTTACAAGGTTCAAAAATAATTACAAGTTTTTTGAATAATTATAAATATTTTCATTTCAATTATTGATGAAATTGTACTTTTACCAAAAGAATTTACCAATGAAAATTCACTGTTATCGACATAATTTTTATTATTATTGATGGATATACTGATAAAAAAAACTCATTTGTGATCATTTTTATTTTTATTATTGATGGAATTTTTATCATTATCAATGAATTTACTGATGAAAAATTCTTTAGGTAATTATTGATGAAAAATTTCATAGATAAAATCATTAGTAATAAATTCATCAGTAATTACTAATGAATTTTTCGTCGATAATTGCCAACGAATTTCAACCATTACTGATGGAATAACACTACCAACATAGCTGGCACTGACGAAATGTTTCTATCACTACAATCGTTGCTAATGCTATTACCGATGGATTTTCAGCTTTTACCGACAAAAAATGTCATTGGTAAAGCCAAAATTTCTGGTAGTGACATACATTTGCCTATATCTTCTTCATTGCAACCATATTTAGGTTTTCAAATAATGAATGTGAAGGCAATCATGACAATATTGATGAACTTGATAATGAAGAAGTTTTAGATGATTATACTTTGCCTTTGAGTTAATAAGATTAATGGAATAAGAGAAGAAACCAATTGAACCAGACTAAGAAATTTCAGAAATGGTTAAGTTTAGGGATGAAAATAATAAGAAAAAAAGTTAAAATTGGTACAACATTGTCACCAGATGATAGACAAAGGTTAATAGAATTGTTCCGTGAGTATGTGGATGTTTTCACATGGTACTACAAAGATATGTCAAAACTCAATATTGCTATCGTAGAGCATAAATTGCCATTGAAACCAAATATAAGCCAGTGCAACAAAAACTAAAATGCACGAAGCCTGAAGTATTGTTGAAAATTAAAAGGAAGTAAGAAAGCAATATGACGTTGGTTTTCTCTAAGTAGCCAAGTATCTTGATTGGTGGCTAACATAGTCTCAGTCCTTAAAAAAGATGGTAAGGTTAAATGCGTGCAAATTATCGAGACCTAAATGGAGCAAGTTTTAAAAATAATTTTTCATTGCCTCATATTGACACACTTGTAAATAATACCACTAAATATTCTTTGTTCTCATTCATTGATGGTTTTTTAGGCTATAACCAAATTAAGATGGCCTTTGAAGACATAGAAAAAACCATGTTTGTAACAATGTAAGAAAATTTCTACGATAAAGTAATACCCTATAGATTAAAGAATGTTGGAGTTGCATATCAAAGGATAATGATAACTCTCTTTTATGACATGATACATAAGAAGATTGAGGTATATGTTGATGATATAAGTGCCAAATCTCATGAAGTGGATGATTATGTCATTGATATTAGAAAGTTATTCAAAAGATTAAGGAAGTTTCAATCAACCTTAATCTTTCCAAATGCACATTTGGCACAAAATCTGGAAAACTATTGAGGTTCATAGTGAGTGAAAGAGGAATAAAGGTGAATCTAGATAAGGTGCATGCTATTTAAAACCTATCTCCTCTATGAACACAAGAAAAAATGATAGGTTTTATGAGACGATAGAATTATTAGAAAGTTTTTCAAAAGATTAAGGAAGTTTCTATCAACCTCAATATTTCCAAATGCACATTTGGCACAAAATCTAAAAAATTATTAGGGTTCATAGTGAGTGAAAGAGGAATAAGGGTTGATCTAGATAAGGTGCATGCTATTCAAAACCTATATCCTCTATGAACACAAGAAAATGTGATAGGTTTTATGAGACGATAGAATTACATTGCTTGCTTTATCTTTTAATACAATAATATGTAATCCCATTTTCAAATTGCTTCACAAAAATAAGTTTAACAAATGGAATGATGAATGCCGAGTGGCTTTTGAAAGAATCAAAGAATACTTATCAAGCCCATTAGTGTTGGTATCACCAATCCTTAGAAAAACTTTGATATTATACTTAACGATGAATGAGAATTACATGAGAGGTGTATTAGGGCAGCATGATGAATCAGGCAAAAAGAATAAGGCATTTATTATTTAAGCAAGAAGTTTACTGATTATGAATGAAGGTATACACTTGTGGAGAAAATTTATTGTGTATTATTAGGGCAAAATGATAAATCAAGCAAAAAGAACAAGGCATTTATTATTTAAGCAAGAAATTTACTGATTATGATTGAATGTATACACTTTTAGAAAAAATTGATTGTGCACTAGGTTGGATAACTCAAAGATTCAAGCAGTATATGTTGTATCATACAATTTGGCTTATTGCGAAATTAGATCCTTTCAAGAATAATTTTAAAAAACGTTTATTATTTGGAAAACTCACTAGATGACAAGTTATGCTTTCAGAATATGACATTGTTTATGGCATTCAAAAAAGTGTAATAGTAGAATTCTTGGTAGATCGAGCTACTAATGATTATGAGCCAATGAAGCTTGACTTTTTTGATGAAGACTAATGACTCTTGAAAAGGAAGGATCCACATAAAAATCATTAAAAATGTTATTTGGTAGGGCTTCAAATGCTTTTGAACTTGGAATTAGGGCAATTTTGACATCTTCAAACTACTATTATTACCTAATTAATGATAGGTTAAATTTCAGTTACACAAGTAATATAGCTGAATATGAAGCATGTGTTATGGGCTTATAAGCTATAATTAAAAAGAAAGTTGAAATACTAGAGATGTATGGAGATTTAGGCTTGGTAATT